AGAAAATTTAGAAAGAAAGAAAGAAAGAAAAAGCTTAGCGTCCATGACTTCGTGCTGGGGGCGAGAGGCGTGTAATTTATTCGCCATCTGCATGACTGGGTCCAGCTAAAACTGGCTTGTCACTCCTCCACGCGCAGACGAGGGGGATGGATAAGGTATCTCCCGTCACATCAATGGCCGCTCACTCCCGTGTGCAGTATCTATTCGGAGTCGTCTCCGACGGAGATAGACCAATCAAAATGCTTTGCGCTTCTAAACCAAGAAAAAAAAATCGGGAGGGGGCGTTCTTTTCCGGTGACCGAACCAATTAGTTTTTATCAATTGATGTTGAATACGTTCCATGACAATTTTTAATCTCTAATTTACGGACATTTTCATGTATGTGTCCAGTGTTATATAAAGTATGTATTAATGTTCTGGTGGTCTGGCATTCTAATGTCCCCTTGCTTCCTGCGATGTTTTAATGGTCTGATGTTAGATAAAACTTCTGTCTTGTCTACGTGAAGGATAGTGTACTGACCAGGGTGTGTGTGTGTGTGTGTAGGGGGGGGGGTCGATGGGTTCACTGTGTATATTTGACTCACAGCAGTGTACATGTGACGAGTAACGAGTAACTTTTCCTCAGTATCTGTTGGCCTGTTGGCGCTGTTCGTTGCACACTGTTGTCGTAATCGGGGAGACTGAAGATGACTAACGGTTGCTCTGGTGTGGTTTGCTCCTTTTTTCCCCTAGCATACATCCATCGTCCTGATTTCTTTCCCTCTTCTTTTCGGTGTTTGTAGCTCTCGTGCAATACCTCTAATATTCGACACTTATATGACCTTTTTGTTTTGCAAGTGCAGTAAAACGCTAATTACTAACTTTGAAAAAAACTTTGAAAATTGAGGAGACTCACCTGATCTTATGGCAGGAAAGATCTACACGCTAGCCTTCTCGGACAAGGGCGTAAAATCTCGGAGGTCCCGTGTGCAAGTTGCGCACTTTAAAGATTCCTTGGTATTCCGAAATCGATGAGAGCAGGCTTCGGCCGCCACCAGGGCAAAATTCCAAAATTTCCTATCAACTGAAAATGTTAAATGTGTCTCGCGCGCTCATATGACCTTATGCAGTTGCGAGTACCGTAAAACACTTTCCCCCCCAAAAAGAAGATTGTTGTATTCCTCACCAACCAGATAGTGCAAGTGTAAGTGAGTCAGATTCAGTGTGAAAGACAGTTATTTGAATGTATTGTCATTTGGGGATTGGGATGAAAACATGTACGAGAGAGAGAGAGACACACAGAGAGAGAGAGAGAGAGAGAGAGAGAGAGAGAGAGAGA